ATGTGAATTTCTGGGCCAGTGGAGCTGGGGCAAGGCCATTCAGATGGATGTAACAGCACACACCCTGCTCTGTGTCGAGATACATTTGTTTAGCACCCACAGCCCGCTGGGAGCTGCGCCAGCCACTTTGTCTTCAGCGTGGGTGTGGGCTTAGAGCTGGGCCTCTTTTACCAGGAGCGGGGCTCCTGAGCACAGCCTTTGTCTTTGTAATCGCCTAGCCCTCAGGATATTGCTTTGCATTTTTTTTTTTTTTTTTTTTTTAATCAGGATGTTATTTGGTCTCTGCTGTACCTGAATCCCTCCCATCCCTCTGCATTTTCTCTCCTTATAAGCCTTGAGACATTTTTCTATTTTGGAAACCTTTGAATTTCACTGGGATGCTTATTCCCACCTCCTCAGACATCTATTACGCTTGACACATGCTTGCATGAGGCTTTGGACACACTGGTGCTCCACCCCTCCCTTTAATCACACCTTGTACCAAAGGAGCAATTTGACTGGTAAGCTAAATTCCAGAGCAAAGAAGACTCTCTGAAAACAAAACAACAAATGAAACAAAACACCCCAGGAAGGCAGATCCCTAAAATTGTGCTGTCAAGCTGACTCCTCCAGGTGAAGGACGTTTCATTTAAACCTGCTTTGTTTTCAGGGTCTCTATAGCAGTGGCTCTCCACCTGTGGGTTGAGAACCCCTGAGCAAGTTTGAACAACCTTTTCATGGGGGTCACATACCAGATCTCCTGCATCTCAGATATTTACGTTGTGATTCATAACGGGAGCAAGATTACAGTTATGAAGTCGCAAAGAAAACAACCCAATGCCTGGGAGGTCACCACCATGCTGTGTTAACAGGTCGCAGCATTAGGAAGGTCCACAACCACTGTTCCACAGAGTCAGCCTGCTTGCCTTCAAATCTAAGCTCAGGCCACTATGTTGCCTGGGCCTCTCTCTTCCCCAGCAATGGGGAACAATCAGCTCAGCCTGCAGGTGGGCTGTGAGAAGGAGCGGTGCAAGGGGCTTTATAGCCCTGAGCAGGAGGAGTGTCCGCTTAGGCAATCATCTCACCACCCAACCGTCTAAGGCTCCCGGGAAACTTTTGTGCGTCTGTCAACTTGCAGTTCTTCAAAAGACAGCACTGCTAAGTAAAGCCCACCCCATTCCTAGAAACAGAAGGACTTTGCCTCACTCTGGTTCTGCGTGGACAGAGTGGCCAAGATGAGTCTATTTGAAATGGGGGTGGGGGACGTATGCCTACAGTCCCAAGGAGCTATTCCAGAGTGTTTTAGAAACATTTTAACAGGAACAATTACAGAGCCCTGGATTCCAGCAAGGAAGCATACTTGCTAGTCTCTCAAGGCCTAGTCATGGCTGTGATTTTGTTATACTCATAACATGGGGCATTTAGCAACAGAAGATTCTCAGTGGAGTGTTCATGAGTTTTTATTACAATTTTCTCAGAATTTGTGTGGAGGTTGGAACTTTTTTAACCAAAACATTTATTAAAATGTTAATCCTGACTTCTGCCCAACACACATACATATCTAGTCCTTGAGCTGTGCAACTTAGGAATGTGAAACAATAAATCTTCCAGAAGAAACCGTGGGGTAATATCATCATAGCCTTGGGGTAGGCAAAGATTTCTTAAACTGGACAGAAATGTACTGAAAATTAAAGCAAAAAAAAAAAATGTTAAATTGAGTTACAATATTAAGGACTTCCAGTTGGCAAAAGATACATTTAGAAAAGTTGAAAGGGAAGCCTCAGAGCAGAAGAACATATTGGCTGTCAGATGAAAGGGAGCCCTTACAAATCAAGACAACCCAGGGGAAAATGGGCAAAAGGCTTCCGCATTTCTTAGACACTCACATGGTTGTAGAGGGCTGGGACTACATGAAGAGACATTTTGCAGACACAAACATGGTTGTGGAAGGCTGGGCAGTCCATTAGTGGCACAATGCCTGTCTACCACGAGACTGGCACTGGCTTTGGCTCTCAGCGAGAAGAGCTGAGTGAAGTGTGCAAACTACTGTGACTATGTAGTCAATGTAATAATCCAGAGAAATAAAGACTGAATCCTAACGAAATACTACTTCCCTACCGTCAGAATGGCTCACATTTAATAACAAAGGTTAACGAGATTCTGGAGCAATCGAAAGTCACAGGCACGGACAATGAATGTTAGTTAGTAATGATGGCAATGTGTACCACACACACACACACACACACACACACACACTGAGCAAATATATCTACTCAGGTGCTCATGTGATATAAATTTGTATATCCGTTTACTTAAAGAAAGACATAATCAAGGAAGTCCTAAACCGGCATCCTATTGAACTTCCAAAAACTTATAAACGATGCAGTTTTTTATGAATAGTAGAGAAACACATAAACTGTAGTGGGGTCTTCAACCCAAGAGTGTCACACAACTGTGGGACTCAGCAAATGACTGTTGTGCACGTCATCAGAAAGTGTCAGCAATTACAGTCAAGCAAAAGGCACACAACAGTCTCTACACCATGGTCCCGAGCGTACAAAGTTATTTTTCCAAAAGGCACAAAAGCAAGCACGATGCTGGAACCTGGGAGGAAGCCTGAGGGCTTCTGGGGCATTGAGTCCTTTCTGTGTCTTGAGCTGTACCTGGATGTGTTCATTAGTGAAAACGCGATTAACTGCCTATTTAAGGATTTCCCAGCTTTCTGCATTTGTGTTTTGCTTCAACAAAAGCTTCATAAGCTGAAAAGAGGCAAAAACAAAAGCAGAAACCTTATCATGCTAGGCAAGATGAGCTCATGATGGTGAGTCATAGCACCAGATAGAAAGCATGTGCCTAGTTATGCTTGGAGTGGGGTGAAGAAGAAGAGAAAGCAAGGAGGCTGGGTAGAGCCAGGCTGATTTGGCTGTAGGAGAGGACCACGCATGCAAACCGGAAACACAGTTTCTCTTAATGAATCCGGCACTCTCCCACTTGCCTGTGCCCTGGAGGGCTGGAACCTTCAGAAACGTGTTCCCATCACATTCGTGCATTAAACAGCCTTAGAATTCCTCTGCTTAGAAAGAAAAATGAGAGAAGGGAGAAGAGAAAAATCGAGATCTAATGTTAATGAAATAGGTTACAGACTGTTTAGGAGAAATCCTGCATTAGGGGGAAGCCACAGGGTAGAGGTGGGGACTATCTGTTGTATTAGAGGATTTCACTCCCACCTGTCTATCTGAAAGGAAAGTCTTCATTGAAACACAGGGCCTTTGAGGACCTGGGACACCGACCCCCACTTCCATGGCCAGAAAGGTACAATACTGAAGGCCTACGACACAGTTTCTCTCTTTTTGCCTCATTCCTCTTCCCTCTGGTAAACCAGAGGCCATGTATAAAAGGGAAGTGGCAACCACTAACTGGGTGACCTCCATGGCTGGTTAAGACGTTTCACTAGCTCTGTTGGAAATTCCCTGGCAGAGCTGGCCCTTCCTGGACCTTTTGTGGTCTCAGAAGGGCTATGCAACCTTCCCATAGGTGCAAGCATTTGAAAGCTGGACTGTGAAGTGTAGAACAGAGCAAATTGCCTTGTTTTGTGGAACTCTGAAGCAATGGGAGGACTATCCCACCTGGGTATGATGTCAGCAGGTGCCCAGCATTCGGCATTCATTCTTGGTCACTGAGGAGGTGATGTCCCCATCCTGATCCCCTTATGCCATCTACACAATGTATGAAATTGACCTCCCAACTTGGATGAGGTGAATGAAGCTGGGTCTGATGAAGGCCCTTTCCTCCTTTGTTTTCTTTATAGGTGGAGTGTATCCCATTATCCCAACCATGAACTTCTAATGTTGAAGCTGTCACTTCTAGGACCTCGTGCCTCGTGTGAATATAAGTTGAGACAAGGCCTTTCACTATATGATTACAATAAGATGAGGAACTCTAGGTAGGTCCTAAGCAAGCACAACTAATGTCTTAATCAGAGAAAATGAGACAAAGTTAAGCATGGGGATGATACACTGGAGATGCACAAGAACAAAGCCATCTACAAGCCAAGAAGAATGTCCGCAGAGGAAAACAATGTCGCCACTACCTCGATCCTGCATTTCCAGCCTCTAGAAATGACAAGACAATAAGTTCCCTCACTTCTCAGCTCTGCTTCTGGAAGCCTGAGAAAATTAATACACTATTCCTGCCTTAATTTTTCCTGGGTATCCCATCTCCGACCGGTCTGAGAGCATCCTGAGTCCACCCAAATACATAGACAAGAGGCTTCTGTTTTGTTTCTGTTCCATTCTTTATTCCTGTTTCAGCTTTGGGTTTGCTTCATACCCTTGTCTGGGAAGTCTTTGCCCTGCTTTTGGATCATTGGTCTAACTTCTAACCATGGTCTCATTTCATTTTGCTCCTAGCTATCCCTGGCTTATATAAGTAGGAAAGTGACTTACCAAGCCTGCCAAGGCTTACAGTCTTTTTTGACTTCACCCTTTGTCAAGCAGGCCCCCGTGGGATTGGTCACTTTGCCAGAGTCAAGGGCAGTGGGAGGGAGGTTGAACCATTTTAAGATGACAAAAGACGGAGGCCATTCTCTTTCTCCATTCTCTCCACAACTTCTTACAAGTTGACAAATACTGTTGCAGTTTTAAATGGAAGGTTTGAGTTGGCTTGGTTCTCAGGTTTCCTCCTTTAGGTTAGTCCCACAGGTGGAAGGGTGTTCACCTGGAGGAGGAAACCAGTCTCATTCAGAATGATCCTTTAGGTGTTCTGAAGATGGGCATGGGTCTGCCTCTACTAGTCTTCGCCATGATAGCCAAGAAGCCGGAGTGCTGTGTGGGGATGTATACCAATGGCTCAGGCGTCAGGATTGAGGAGGCCTGCTCTTTGCACCCAAACCCTACTGATAGCTCCCATTGCCCTCTTCAGGACAGCAGAGACCGAAAGCCACGGCTCAGATGAGTCTGTATGCCGTATCTCAAAATTCTCAGCGAGGGTCAGCTGGGTAGAGACAAATAGTTTGGACTCACCTCAATGCACCTCTGACCTGAGGAGGTGATGACTTGACAGCCAGTTGAAAAGAATGCCACTAAAAAGAAGCAGCTGATGTGTGGGGCCATCCCGGGTCCAGAGCAAGCCCAGCTGGGCAGGATTATCTAATGCTCAGAGCCAAGCAATGTAATCGCACTCTAATAGGCCTGGCAATTTGGCAGGCAGTGAGGGGCTCAGAAGGCTGATCTTAGAACAGAAATGCTGTGAGCTGTTCAGCGTTTGTGAACCTTTGCTGCAAAAGGAGAAAAAAAAAAGGAAGTTCTTTTTGCATAACAACCATCTTGACCCAAAATAACTGAGAACCCTGCCCCAAGGCTGGCCACATGCATTTCCTGACAAACACAGATCAGTTGTGCAGCCCTCTGAGAGGCTGAGAGGCTGTCCGCTGGCCAGAAGGGGTTTGGTCCACTCTGCTAGGTTCTAGTGTCTCTCCTTGTGAGAAGGGAGACAGGAGTCTGCACTCATGCAGGGCACCGCTTTGCCACCCATCTTCTTAAGTGACTAAGATAAGCCTGGGAGGGAGCACGCTGCCAGGGCAGAGATCTGTGCTTCAGCAAATGGCAGGGCTGGGAAATTGGGAACTAGGGCAGGAGGTGACAGGCTCAGCGGTCCTGGTAGCTGAAGTTCAGCTTCTTCCTGGACCAGTACCAATCTCCTGTGGAGAGATTACTATCTCTCCCTGTTCGCTTAGGACTGTTAAAACAGCTCAGGTGAGAGCCCCTTTTCTGCCCTAATGGCTCAAGTTCAACAAAACAGCTGTTAAAAGATCTACAGCCTGGTCTAGGGGAGCAGAGCTAAGTTTAACAGTCTAGGGTCCCTTTTGCTTTAGAAATAGCTTTGAAGGGCTGGGATGTACCTCAACTGGTAGAGTGATTTCTTAGCATCCATGAAACCCTCAAGTTCGGCCACTCAGCACCCCATAAAATACCCCCATAAGCCCAGGAGATAGAGGCAGGAGAATGGGCTGTTCAAAGTCATAGAGAATTTAAGGCCAACCCAGGCTACAGGAAAGCCTTTCTAAGTGTGGGGAAGGGAGAGAAAAATAGAGAAAATTATTTGAATTGGGAGGTAATTTTTCGAAGAGTCAAGGTGTGGCAGGGAAAGAAAAAAGTTCAAGCATTTACCCAGTGAACTTAACTATCTCAGGTTTTCTCTGTCCTTGAACAGATTGACATGTGGGGGACAATTGGTGGTGCTGTTCTTCCATTCTACTTCCAAGAGCCCAGTTCCTAATTCAGACTCCACAGTAATGTTAGCTGCTACTGCTCTGCGTTACTACGACCAACACAGGGATCATAGCAGCTGCCACTTACTAAGCATTCATCAGCCAGGAGGCCACATTTTAGTTTGGTTAAGTGCATTTCTCTAGCCTACAAAGTGTCACCTTTTTTGGTTCATTTTACTGTTGTAGAAACTGATGACTTTGAGCAATTAAACGATCTCTCCTAGACTACGCCACCAGAGCATGGTGGAGCAACACAGAGAAAACATGTTTCTACTCTCCATGGGAGGAAGTGGCCTCCTAAAACAGCTGACTAGTGGACAGAACAGAGAATGTTCACCTGTCCATCTCAGCAGAGGCTGAGAACAGGCCGCAAAAGCTTCTCACTTGGGCTACATTCGGGCTGTTCTCAGAAAAGCAGGCGCTTCATAAAATGCTGTCCTTATCAACAAGTATACCTCTGAAGGTGTGATCTACGCCAGTAAAGGGGAGTGGAAGGTCACTTTACTTCAAAGACGGCATCCATGATGGCGTGGACCCAAAGGTTCCAAGCCTCCGGTCTACGACTCATCAAATGAGTGACCTCGAATAAGGCACCACACTTCTCAGAATGTGGTTTCTCATCTGAAAACCTGGAGATGTTCTGCTTACATCATAGGGTAATTATGAGGATCACATGAGATCATATGTGGGAAAATGCTTTCTTAACCTTAAAGCTCCACATAAACATAAAGAATGTGGAAAGAAGTCTGCTCTGAACCCCCAATTCCAATGTCATGTAAATATCACTCTCAGGAAATTGTCTCCTGCCCAAGAGACACTGAAAAGGCATATTACTTTCTGTCTTAAAGAAAGGTTTGATGGCTCCGTTAAGGCCATAAGATTTTGTCATTTTCTGAGGCCGTATCATTTGCATATGATTTGCGTGCGTTTGCATAATGGATTCAAAAGACTCACTGCCAGTGTATAAGAGTAAAAGAAAATAAATGAATATGAGTGACCTTCTGCCACAGCATTCAAATCAAATATTCAGGGCATAATACCCTGAAATATGAAATAGATTAAAATTTAAACTATTGCAAACAGATAGGAAGATAGGTTTTAGAGTTCAGAGACAAGGATGAAACCCTTATTCGGTTCCAGTTTGTAAAGAGTCACGATCTCCTAAAGGTCACCTCATTCAAATGATTTTCATGCCTCAGTTCTCCCTCTACAGCCCTTTACCCCACTGCTGTGCTTAGACCAAAACATACTGCACTATTTTTCAGTCTGCCCCAGAATGCCTCAGCGATAGAAAACTCACCATTCCTCAAGAAATTGTTCTGGCCATTTTTAGCTGTTTATATATACAATATGGTCTTTTATTTAACTGTAAAAATCTTCCCTAGATTGTGCTCATAGTATTCCGGGTTTCCTCCAGCTAATCGGTGAGTCAATGCAAGCCCCTTCATATCTGTCAGTCCTATGGGTATTTAAAATGATAATGTCCACAATCCTTCCCCTTTGTAGGTTAAAAATGTCCAGATCCTCTGTGTCACAAGACCACACATTATCACTCCTGCCAGTCTGTTTATGAATATTTCCCAAATAGCACAGAAAATACACGGGGTTAGAATCCTGTCTTTGTCATTAACTGGTTCTGTATCATTCAGACTAGCAATGATGGAATTAGACTAGCTTTTCTTTTCTGTAAACATTTTATTTCATTTACTATTGGTATGTGTGCATGTTTGATGTATTTGGGCTTATGTGGAGGTCAGAGGACAAGTCTGTGGAGTCAGTTTATTTTTTCCATCTTCATGTAGGTTCTGGGGATTGAACTCAGGTCATCAGGCTTGTGTAGTAAGCACCTTTAGCTGCTGGTCAACCTCCCTAACCAATACTACTTTTTCTATAAGGAACTGTTTTTGTGTTTGTTTTTTCTAAGACAGGCTTTTTCCATGTAACAGTCCTGGGTGTCCTGGAACTTGCTTTGTAAACCAGGCTGGCCTCAAACTCACAGAGATCCACCTGCCTCTGTCTCCCTGAGTGCTGGGATTACAGGCCTGCACCACCATGCCTGGCAATAAGGAACTTCTTCATTTAAGACTTCATTACTCTATTTAAAAATTATAATTTCTAACTTACTCATATAATAAATTTGACTTGACCCAATAAAATGGAGTTACACTTGCTGTGTCTTGACAATCTGCTCTCTCCTTCTTCCTCCAGATGGTATAGCTCCTTCTTGGCAAACAGAAGCTAGAAAGGGCTATCTGGAGCAAGTCGGCCTGGGCTATCACCTTCTAATGCCAATCTTCCCACAGTGTCATGATGGGATGAGCTGGCCAGGAAGAGATAGAGCAGCCATGATTCATACCGAGAACAATTTCTTTCAGAGAGAGAAAAATAAAATAAGCTGAGAGGAGGCACTGGGAACATTTTTTACTATTGACCAGTTTCCACATCAGTAGGAAGACAACTCTGTAGAAGCCAGGAATTTTCATGAAATTTGGTGTCTTTATATGAACTATTAACATGGATTTGTGTACAAATTCCATACACATTATTATTCCATTAAAGGTCTCCATGGAGTTCACTTGTACGGTCAGCAGCCACTTAGCGGATGGCTCTGGAGAACTGACCGTTTTCATGTCTGGTGAGATCTCTGTGGTCACTTTTGTGCCTCTAGGTCAGTGGTTCCCAACCTGTGAATTGAGACCCCTTTGAGGGGAGTCAAACGACCCTTTCACAGGGGTTGACTAAGACCATTAAAAAAACACAGGTATTTACATTGCAATTCACAATAGTGGCAAAATTACAGTTATGAAGTTGCAATGAAAATATTTTATGGTTGGGAGTCACCACAGCATGAGGAACTGTATTAAAGGGTCACAGCGTTAGAAAGGATGAGAACCATGGCTGTGAGTGATTTGTATATGAGTGACTTGGACCATGAGTGCAGAGGACCTAGACCTCCTATTCAGGTGGCTGATTGGCAGCTCAGTCTCCATGAGGATCTCTGAGCGAGGGGAGCAGGGGCTGCCTCTATCATGAACTCAGTTGACTGCTCTCTGATCACTTGCCCCTGATGCGGCCTTGCCAGGCCACGAGGGAAGAGGATCCAAGCAGTCCTGAGGAGACTTAACAAGCTATGGCCAGATGGTAACAGTGGAGAACTGTATTTCAGTGGACTAGGGGAAGGGGATGAGGGAAGCAGAAGGAAGGGTAGGGCTAGGGGGAGTTGAAGGAGGGGGCTTCAATTGGGATATATGATGAATAAATTGTGAAGAAAAAAAATAAAAATTAAAAACAAAACAAAACAAACCAAGAGTGAGTTGGGATCCTAGAGCCCTTTCAAACTAGTGATCCAAAGGCTAATTTATTTTCAGGAATATATAAGCTAAAGTATGCTTTGTCCAAATTTGAAAAACACTGCCTGAGAATTTCTACTATATCATCTGAGCAGCAGGAGATTTTACAATGACTTACCCTTTATATGTTCAGTTTTGCTTCTGCTTTTGGCTCAAGACTCCTTCCTCATTCAATTGCACAACCCCCCATCACTAGATGGCTTAATATACCTGGTTTTCTAAAATATTCTTGAGTATTTGAATATTTTTTTATGGTCAAGTTTACCTTGGGTCATTATATTTCCTAATAACTTGTCCACATTTAATCAAATTGTTATGCTACAAGGTGTAGAGCCATAAAGGCCCAAAGTAGAGCTTCCTTCAAAGTAGACACTCTCTCCCTTTGAGGGTTGTGTCATGTGCCTCGTGACATATCTGAATACCCTTTGCTCCTTTGCAGATGGAGACCCTTCGGGGTTATCAGGCTACACAGAGGCCGTAACGCGTGCCGAGACTCTGTCCAGCCCAAGCGTGGCAAACATGACTCTGGCAGGCCTTGCACTCCCCCCCCCCCATTGCCTCT